GCATACATTTAAAGGCCTAATTATCTTGGAAGCTGTTCACATACACAAATATACAGTATGTGGGGGCAATCCTTGTTAACAGAATCATAAAGATAAATATGTGCAAGTAACTAGAACATGTGTGGTTATATATTTAGCAACCTAAAAAAAAATAAAGCACTGCTTTTGGGAGAATATACAATACTGAGGAAGCTTTGAATTCAGAGTGTCACTGCTTGTTTGTATGGCTATGTATCTGACAGTAAAATATACAGATGCATGAAAAATTAAAGTAAAATCAACATAAAGTGCCTCAGTGAGGTGCTGGGCCAAAACATGCCATCAGAACAGCTTCAGCGCACCTTAGCATTGACTATCCAATTCTCTGAACACTACCGGAGGGATGAACACTATACTTCCAAAAGATATTTTCTATCATTCAGTATTTTGATGATGGTGGTGGAGAAGCTGTATAATGCATCACTCCAAAACCCAGATGGGTTGAGATGTGGTGGCTATGAAGGCCATAGCATTGGATTCATATCATTTTCATACTCATCAAACCATTCAGTGACCCCTTGTGCCCTATGGATAGGGCAATGTATTCATGTAGGCATGTGCACCAAACAGAATATTCCCATAGTTAATGTTTCCATGACGAACTTTGGCAAATACAATTGCTTGGTTTGTCAAGGGTTAGATAAGAAGATTTATCAACCACTTTCCTAATGCTTATTAAGGAGCTGCTGTGGAGCTGGGGGGATTAATGTAATGTAGTATAAGGAGTGGAAGCATAGGGAAACAGCTTGTCTGATTTGTCCAAAGTTCAAAAATATATCTACTGTATCAGCATCTCTTAACTTCACTAACACTGCATCTTGTTTGTTTAAGCCAAGTGCTGCTCAAGGGGGATTTGTTGGGTTTTCCTTCTGTAATAATAGTGATAATAGTAAGGTCTAGACCTTACTTTGTAAAGTGTCCTGAGATGACTTTTGTTGTGATTTGCTGCTATACAAATTAAATTTGATTGAGTTATTAATGTGTTCAAAAATAGAAATGTAAAAAAGAAATGTATGCCTAACTTTTCCTAGTGACCAGTAGCTATAGGTGAAGTGTCTTTTTATGTTTACATTTATAGGGTGGTAGTTAATGAGCTTTATATGCATGGGCAGACAATTTTTTTAATATTGGACAAAGTCAGTCTAGTTGTTCAGTCTTTATGCTAAACTACACTAACTACTGCCTGGCCTTAGCTTCATGTCTATGACATGATAAGTATTAATGTTTTGTTGAGCTCTCAGAAAGAAAGTCAGTAAGTATATTACATACAGTTTAAAACCTATAAAATAAAATGAGTGGCTTGCTGGTTGTAAGAGTTGAGCAAGTAATTTAACATTAGTAGTAGTTGTAGTAGTTGGTTCTTAATTTTTAATGTTCGTAGTTTGTAAGGTAATGTGTGTCTCAAAAGAATATGTGCTTTCATAATGTATAAGATTATTGTCTTTTGTAACACATAGCAGATATGGGATGCCACAGGGCTCCACTCTAGGCCCCTCATAAAGTAGTATACCTTGTTCTTCCTTGTAAAGTGACACAATATATTTGAGTTTTTGTGTTGATAATGGTACTGGTTTCTTGCAGAACAGACAAGTCAAGTGGTAACTACCAAAATAACACATTCAAACAATATGCTGCTGGTTGCTTAAATGAGTCATTTATCTGGTTTTCTCCACATTTGTGGCACTTATTTGACCCTTTCTAGCCAATTGGAAAAAGCAGGAAATTGGTAGTGAGGGAAAGACAAAAGGAATAATCTACCTTTTTTTTGTAGTATAGCGCTCCCACTGCGCTTCCCTATATGGTTCTCTACGTAACAGGTGTAGTTGGCCAGGTCTGTCTCATCCACAGCATCAAATGTTAAGGACAGCTGCACCTCCTTCTCCCCTAAATGTTCCCTCAAGATCCTGCATAAAGACACACAGATAACAGTCAAAGAGAACAGGAACATTGATTGCGCTAAAATTTACAAATTTAAAAACTTTTTAGGGAAGTGGAGAGTGTGAAAAGAATGGAGGAAAAGAGGAGAAAGAAACATATTTGAAAGAGAGGCAACTGGAGCTAACCTCTCTCCCAGATTATTACTTCAAAAAGCAACAAATCTTAAAGCCAGGAAACATTCCATGTTTTCCTAATTACTCCTCTGAAATTCCTGCAAGGGAGAAATGGAAAAATAAAGAAAAGTGAAAAGGGAAGGAAGAGAGAGCAGATAAAAAGTAAAATAGAGGGAACAAGGAGGCATGTGTAGAAAACACTGGTGACAGCTGGAAAAAGCCTCTTGCCTTATGGTGGGGGTCACACTCCTCTGAATGCCTGCGAGGAGGAAGAAACTGAACTGATGTTTGGGTCAGGATGTGCACCATAAAGCCTCAAGTCAGATTCAACTATAGCAAATGATATTGCATCTGAAATTAGGCTAACAGTGTTGTGGTGGCAGACTCATAGCAGTCACCACAAATGGCCCCGTAACATTACAAAGACACCAATATCTTAATTCAGTTGATACTTGTATTGCTTTTGTTTCATAGGGGAACAATTACAATGTTTCATATGGTATTTTAATTTAACATAAAACATATGTAACATATTTGTTGCTGCTCTTTTGGCTGTTTTGTTCTTGTTTTTACAGTTAGTGTATTCACTCAAATGTCATGCTTCTTGTAGTGTAGGTCTGTGATTATTTCAGTAATGACACGCATGGTAAACTCAGTACTCAGTTTACAGATCATGCTGTTCATTCCATTTTTAATTTTTTTTTTTTTTTTTACATTATTGTATCATTACTTTGCAGGAGGTATAAAGAGCAGCACTGCTAATATTACCATAAACTATATGGCTGATATAGTTGTTAGAAGACCAGTGCTTGTATCCGGTGTGGGTACACTTGGCCCAGCATGGTGCAGATGTTAGTCTTTGTGTCAGACTTTTTATAACAAACCCTGTAATCCCATTTGGGAAATTTCTCAGTCCTAATGTTTGGTTTTAGAAACAATGCTACGTTACCACTGTAGGTTAATAGGGGAAGATTATTTTAAAGCCAGTGTCTTGTGAAGGAAACTCAGTATCAATTTGCACTACTTGAGTAATCATAAGCTTGGACATCAGAGCAACTTGTCTTAGCCTGGGACATGGCCAGAGAAAACAAGTGTGAGAGAAGTGAGAACTAAGACAAATTTGGAGAGTCACATGGACAATGACACCAATGGGAAATGCCTTGTTCAAATACAACAGGTCTTGTATATGCAGCCAATATTGTGGTTCTGGATCAAATTGTAATCATACTGCAGATGTTTAATTTAAAAGACATGGAGCAGGATTTTGTAGCAATTGAGCTGTTGTAACCACAGGAAAAAAGTGATATTGAAGCAAACTAAAGCCATAAGTAATAAGTACAGTACCACATGCAGAATATGAAGAATTATATTTATCAGGAATTTAGTATAAACTCTTTTAAACAGTGAGTTTCAAATACACAAATTTAAAACCCATGTAACACTGACATCTGCCAAATGAAGTAGCTGTAGTAGTTTATAGTGTGGGTTGGTCTGACTTTCCAGTGGTCAGCCAAACCAAACCAGAAGACAACAGGACTTTGAAATGAATGAGCATTTCCTTATGCAAAATCAGTAACTGTGTCAGAAAACAGACCAGACAGGTCACGGAATATTGTTATTCTTCCTCTTTACAGTATGTAGTGGTTTTATTATGCTTTCAACTACAGTAGTCTAGACTGGCCAGATTCTAAAAGGCAGGACTTGGCACAGTTGGTCTATTGGTAATTCAATATGGAAAGGTACTGTATCTGTCACTTGAAGCTTTTATCCAAGTGCCTGCATGCAAAGAACCCTGACAAACACACTTATAACATGGGTGCTCACTGTGTGAATTTGAACTCCTTACCCTTTTATTATATGTATTATATAGTTTCCTCTACCCTTTTAGCAACTGAGGAGCAGAAAAGGGCAGAGGAATTTGAATACAGGACTATTAATGTACTGGTCAAGATTACACAAAGAATTACTATTAAAAATGTTAAATACTCTTGAAAAAAACAACCAATGATTGAAATCATCTCTGTATGTATGTGTTTCCTCTTTCTCGCTCTCCTCTGCATGTCATTGGGTTTGTGTGTGTACATCACTCTGATGTCTACCAGTGTCAGAGGTCTCAGTTAAAAGCAGTGACTTGCTAAAATCCATGATTAAAAACACATCACTTCCTCCGTCCCTCTTTCGCACCTTTCCTCCAGTAACGCCCCATCCATTTTAGACCCCATCATTCTCCTCTTAGACGCCCCCTTCTCCACTCCATAACTCTAAAGCTCTCTTGATGTCTGCTATTAAACTCACTCCTTCCCACTCACTAAATTACACCTGAGTGATGAATATTGATTTCTTCTGCTCATGTTTCATTGTTTTATATCATTCCTAGCACCTGGTCAGATCTCCCTTTGTCATGTTCATGTAATACTAATGTGATTACAGACTTAGCAGTCTACCCGGAAACACCATCAATTACACCATTTTTCTTTAACACCTGGGAACACTTCAAAGTAAACATGATACTAACCTTTAGGGTTGTTTCAGACTCTACACAAACTACATAAATGCAGCTGTAAACACAAAGGTGAGGCAAGTATTTATCTATAAGCAGTGGCCGCTTTTCTTCTTGACAGATATGATACACTGCTCATCCAACAGGGGGCAAGAATCACTGGCTATGGTCCTAATCAGGTCACATCATTTATCAGGTTGAAAAGAAAATAGCCAAAGAGCAGCACATCATTTGTTATATTAAATCATCCCCAGTAACAGAAAAAACAGGTGTGTGTTTCATACCATAATCGAACAGTTCTTCTTTAAGAAAGAGCAGAGCAGAGAACCAGTACAGCATTTGCATTATTGTCCCTATCAGAAAAGTGTGAAATAACACTTGCAGCGTCAGAAAGAGCACTTACTGTCTGAAGTTAAAACTGGCAGATGGATAACAGTTCACTGACATTAACAACAGTACCTCTGATATTGCACCTGTCACCTATGGTGTCCCTCAGGGTTCAGTACTTGATCCTCTCCTGTTCAATCTCTACATGCTTCCTCTCAGGCATATCACCCATTCCTATAATTCGCACTTCCATTTCTAGGTCGATGATGTCCAGCTCTATATCTAAATCCAGTACCTGAACTCTGCAAAATTTGATATGATCAACGATGGTCCCAACTCTCTCACCAAAACCATGCTAATTTCCTTCACTGTTGACAGCTTTATTCTGTCTCCCTCCCCTCACATCCATGAGCTTTAAATACTCTTTGACAGAGACCGCTCACAAAACTACCATCAAAAAGCAGCCTTTTCTTACTAAAACAAACAAACTAATTTGTCTGTTGATTAAATTGTTACATACCTTCATTATCCCATAGTTAACCTCCACATTAGTGTTTTTTATGCTACATCTTTGACTTTCCTTATTATAACAGCTGGTCATAGTAGTTTTTTTTAGCAAACATTAATCAAAATGGAATAGTGCTTATGTTGGAGACTATTTTCATTTGGGTAAAAAAAACAAACAACTTATCCTTTAATAAACTTTAGTATACCCAACATTATGGTGCTTGCCTGTTCAGTTAATCACTGTCACCCTAAAACACCTCCACTGCAACCTGTTTCACAACATATTCAACTAATGTTTATTATCCACACTTACAAATCCCAATTTAACACAGCCTTTCTAAGTTAACTCACTGATCTTCTATGCTGCCTCAACCTCAGTTGATTCATGTAATATAGAATTATTAAAACAGTTTTCTACTAATTATCGACTACTGATGGAAAAACCACCTGAAACAACAACATGATGACTAAAATCTCCCATGGAAATGAATGTCACTTTCAGACAGAGGTGGACATTAACTGACAACATTTACTCATTTACTATACTTAAGTACAATTTTGAGGTATCTGTACATGAGTATTTTTATCATACTTTGACTTCACTACATTTTAGAGGCATATATTGTACTTTTTACTCCACTATATTTATTTTTATAACTTTAGTTACTAGTTACTTTTAAGAACCAGATTAATAGAAAATTCATAAGGCTTTATTGATCGTTGGCAGAAAACTCACAAGCTACCCAGCAGTATTGTTAAGTACTTCAAATTATAAGCATATAAGATACTTATAGACTAGCTCCCTCTTTATCAGCTGCTACATTAAATATGATGAACATGATAATGCATCAGTAATTATAATGCAATAATATGATATACATATGTTAAATGTGCCATTCTGCATAAAGAGTACTTTTACTTTTAGTACTTTAAGTATGTTTTAATGCTAATGCTTTGTACTTTTACTTATTGTAAGTAACTTTTTGAATTCAGGACTTTTACTTGCAACAAAGTATTTTTACACTGTGGTATTGCTACTTTTACTTAAGTGATGTGAGTATTTTTTTCCATCACTGATTTCAGATAACAGAAAAAGATAGGAGGTTAGCAACAAACCATCTTCACTGACAGATACAGGTTCTAGTAAAAAATAAAGCAAAGCTTTGACAGTGCTTGGACTGGACAACTGATGTGACTTTTAGGTGCCTCTCCACATCACTGGACAGATGGCACAGTGCTGCCTTCAAGTGAAAGTATGGAGGAGGCACTGGCCCAGGTAGACATACTGTAATTATGAATTCATTGTACATGATCCAACTATCATACTGTAGTTGAGTTGCAGAAATGTGAGACAGTAGCTGGATAGCAGTGAAGCTTTGCCAACCACAACAGTCAAGCTGCTTATTTATTATGTTGGTGTGTGTTTTTGGGAATATTTTGACTAAAAACATTTGATAAGGTGTCTTCCAAAGACAGATGTAGGTTTTATCAATTGGAGAGGATTTGGAGGGTAAGTATGAAAAAACTGCCTGTTTGTCATACATTCACATCCAGTTATTGTATCTAACAATATGAAATGAAAGTGTGAACAGCTCTCTTACATTCTGCAGGAGAACAACCCTTGGTAATTACAGGCATTCACATTATCATGTAGGCCACAAGACAGTATTGGTTCTTATGTACACAGACATGGACACATGCAGTCTACAGGCCATTGCTGCAGCAGAATGGGTGAATGGAGCTAAATGTGAACAGATTAATGTGCATCACAGTGGGGGTCTGTCTGCCGTAGTGTGACTGATGAATCTGGAATAGCGGTGTGATTGGATCAGAGGTGGCCAGAGGACTGGACTGCAAGACTGAGAACTCATCAGGCAAAGGTTAATTTAATACCACAGGGCATGATTAGTTTCAAGTTTAAACACTCACACTCATGGACACTCCTGCTCTTTTTTTCTACAACACTATTTTCCAAGGAGCGAACACATTCAGAGGCCAGTAAGTGGCTTAGCAGTCACAGAGACCACCCCTCAAGTGGAGAACCTGGGTCTAAGCCCCAGGTCAGTGAACAGCCCTGCTACTGATTGACAAACCCTGCCAGCTTCACACATGCTGTAGAAGGCTGACCCTGACCTTTGGTCCTCTCCATTGAGGGAGAATAAGGGATGCTAAAGAATTCACATTCACATTATTATTAATAGGCTGAGCTGATGACATAACAATTGGCAGCAGAAAACCTTTTGTCTAGAGCTAACTTTAGAAATTTTTTTTAACATAAGCTATTTACTGATGATGGGTAAAATCATCACTGAAATTATATACTTTCTAGGTAAGGTAAAGAGGTAAACATTTATTTTAAAGCATGTTGTATTAGAAGAGAATGTAGAGTAATACTGCTCAAAAGTAGGCTGGTTTGACAATAACACAGAAGAGAAAAATCTGTGAAATATAAAGTAGATGGTGCATCAACCCACTCTGTATTCAAAGCAATACAACTACTGGTTGTACTTGATAGGAAAGGAGAGGCTGTTGTAAGTGACTATTATGGTCACATAACTAGCTATGGTTATGATAACATTTTTTATGGTAATTATTGGTAACGTTTTTATTCAGTACTAGACTGTGAAGTATACTGTACCATGGTGAGTCCATTGTTATCATACCCAATACAGTTGATACCGTGAGGCATGACAGAACTCAGGGTGTAATAAACTAATGTTTTTCTTCAATATGTAATGTCACCACACAGTAGATGATGTGCACCCAAATAACAGTGCTGTTTGTTGATTTTGCAACTGGAGTTGTTAAGTATGGCAGCATATTACTGCCATCATGAGAAATCGCTCATTTATTAAAACATTTTTCACTTATTGCATATTTTTTCATTATAACGAGAGATAGTAGATAGTATGGAATCAAATTTATGTCCTAAAGAACCAACTAATATGATGCCTCACAATAGAGTGGATCAGATCATTTCTACAATTATTCTCAAGAACCAGTGTTATGCCGAGTTCTGCCTGCCGAGAACTGCATGCCCCCTTACAGCATTGCACACAGCACCAGCTGGAGCACCCCTCCTAAAGGCATTCGCCTTAGCAGCTTCGCTCTCATCAACACCCTGCCATACCAACTTTCCACACAGTGTCCAGCATCGCACTTAGGTGCTCTCCAGGTGCCACTGAAAATTACTGATTTGACACATAAATTCATGTATATATATTTATATATAGGAAAAAAAAAAATAGCGCTTGAATGCGGCTCATGAGCCACAATAGCTTGCATGTGTCTCGATCATGTTACAGGTCTTACTGACAGCAAGTAAAGTTAGTCTGTGTCCTGCTGTCACTTACTAAAAGCTGTGCAGGGCTCACATTAGGAAGTAAAATGATAAGATCCACTCGAGTGTGTGTGTTAGTATTAGATGGTTCTTTGAGCCATAAATTTGAAACTAGGCTGTAGTTCACTTTGTAACTGAAGTTACCACTATATGCCCTTGCATAGAGAAAAAACAGCATCTCGTTATAATTATAAAATATGTCACAATAATGTGGAAAATATCACGCTTTAATGAATAAGTAGAATTTCCTGTTATCCTCCTGCTTTTGTCCACCTGGAGAAAGCAAACTAGAGGAGCATCATCAGTCCTCAACCCCAAACTGAGCAAGCAGTTGGGTGTGTGTGTTTGCAAGAAAGATTTTGAGTGTTCTGTTGGTTTTCATGTTCTAATGATATGACTTCCTGCAGACAATCGGGCATTTCTCAACAGAACCAGAGTAATTGGTCTCAATAGGTGAGAATATAAATTCAATTTAACTTTATTAGTATTCATAATTTTTTTGTTTGTTTTTTTTAGGAAAGTTAAGAAGAAATGTGTCGGAGCTCTCGACGAGTCATAAATCATAAGAGAGCAAATTACATGCTGGCAATGTGTGGACTGCAGCTGGAGCCACGTCTTTTCAGAATTAATTAACAATAGAGCCATAAGCTTGAGAGGGTGTAATTGATACTGTCTTGCAATGTCATACAAGTGTGGTGAAAAAGTATCTCAACAAAAACAATATGCACATTTATATGTATTTAGCAACTGTGACTGATTTTCACTCTACAATTTACAGCAGTTTCTTTTTTTTTTCTGTTCTCCAGAAAATGATTAGGGGGACATGCACATCATTTGAGTGAATCAGTATTTAGATGTTGGTGTATTTACCTGACTTCACTTTCTTTAATGTGTCCAGCTAGTTCTTCAACAAATTTATCTCCTTTCATCCAGTAGATGATGGGCCTTCTGTTTTCTCCGCTGTAGCCAAAAAAGGCCTTGCAGTCCAGACTGAGAGGCATACCTGCAACACACAACACACCACTGTTACTATATAGACAACAGCATAATGACAAACAGCAAAATCCTCTCATTTGCAACTCAAATATGAATGCTAGTCAGGCTGAAGGACACCTCCAGTTAGAGCAGGTAATGCCCCCCCTCAGGAGCCAATGCAGAGAGCCACAGTAAGGTGTGCTGCAAGGAGCCTGTTTGGAGCCCCTTAGTTGGGGAACTAAAACAATCGCTATTAAAGTGACTGTGAAAAACTGTCAGAATCTGTTTTTTATCATGTAAAAGTAATTTCTTTAAAATGTTCCGCTCATGCAGCAAAACAGTGAAGCAGAAATAAAAGTTCTGCTTAAACGTTCAGCTCACATAAATCACACAAAACTAAACAAAACCCAATACCTTATTCTCTGAGTCATTGTGATATACTGTATGTCCAAGTGGACAGTTTGCCTAAACTTTCAGATCTCCACTGCTCAGACCTTTGCTGCCAAACCATTTCAAGGGGGAGGAACGGCTTCACTATTTTTTGCCCCATACATAAATTGTGACTTTATGACACCTTGAGCAACACAAATGAATTTTCATTCAACCTTCATTGGTCACAGTTGTAATAGCAGAAATCTTAGCACAAATCGCAGCATATACCTGCATAGCAAGGATTTCACTTTTTGTAAAGATTATTTTGTAGGAATTCAAATAAATTTTGCACTACGTTTGAATGAAAATCTACAGAATGACTTGTTGCTTTATTACCCTTTAAAACTAAGCTAAAAATACAATGGAGGACTGAATCATCAAGCATCATGATATCAATCCTAGCACCAGATAAAATATTAGAGGATTATGCTAATTATGTTTTTTAAATAATTGCTGTCTGAAAATGTGCACAAAGCAATATGGCTAAGGTTTGGGATATACTGCATCACTCCTAATAAAAAGAAGCACAGGTCTGGTGTCCTGCATTAAAATCATATGGTCTGCATTCACTTCATAAAGGGCATGTAGTTTATCCATACTGGCTCTAAGTGTTGGCGCCTAACTCAGGTCTATAATCAGACAGTATAGATGAACTGTAATCTAAAGGTGTACTTGGGCAGATGAACCATATGGGCTAAAATGAGCTATTTTAGAGACTATCTACTCTGTACTGAAAGGACCGAATGTAACAGGTTCTGTGATTCAATACTTGCAATGCAGTTTTGCTACAAGACAGAATTGTCAATACTAGCACCACACTTGAGCACACACATGAGTGCAGACAGTACCCAGACACGCTCTCACACACCCTCCTGTAAGACCTTGAAGCCACCACTCTGTGATTACAGCTATCAATAGCGATGATGGAGTATTAATGAGCATTCTAATGAGCCCTACCTCGTTAGGCAGTCAATTAGCAGATAATTAGGATAGACCTCAGTACTATCATAATGACAGCTCTATCAACACAGTCAAGAACCATCCCTGAATGCTAAAGTTGTCTCTATAACTCTGTGTTTGTTGTCAGACAAGCACTGAATATGAATAAATATATCCAGCATTTACTGTAGCTGATACCATATTGCCAAGTGAGCAGGATATCCATGTGGTCCTATGCATGTTTTGTCATGTGTAAGGTATTCCCTGAAATGACCATATTTAAAAGAACTTCCCAGTAGAGTAATATTACAGAAGCAAAGGTAAGAACTTTCACACACTGGTCAGAGACTGAATAAACACCGAATAACTGGTTTCGCTAAAATGAAAGTGTTTTTTCTGTAGGAACATCAGATGATAGCTTTCTGATTGGTGTAACAATCAAAGACAAAACAATTACCACTAGGATAAATTTCCAGAGTTGTAAAATCCTGTTGGTGAGTATTACAAACCACTGTGCTGTGTTTCGGTAACTAATAAGCTTTAAATGCATATTTGTGTTCCTCGAACTGGACCTCCCTGGTCATCAACACGCCTCCACCAAAACTGTCCCTTGCAACATACTTTTGGACAAATGTCAATGTGAATGCAGCCTAATATTTGTAACTTCTAACTAGGTGAGACACAAAATGGTTGTGGATGTCTGTCGGTGGGCTCTCGCGGTGAGAAATGTTCACCTATGTGCTGAGGCAGGCAGCATATACACAGTGAAACACACCACAGAGCCTGATGAAAAAACACAAGAGAAAAACTGGATTAGAGTGAAATTAATTTAGCTTGATTGTGTGTGTGTTTCTCTGTTTGAGTGTGTGTGTATGTATGTAGGTACCACAGTAATTGATTAGCACCCTGAGGGTGTGTTTGTGTTCTCAGCATGTTATAGTGATTAAAATCATCAACTTTGTTTGCACTTGTGTGGCAAGGGGGTGTATGTAGGTTGGTGTGAGTGTGTGTGTGTTTCCAGTAATCAGGGCACAAGCATTTCATAGAGCGAGTTGAGTCATCATTTCTATTTGTGGCTAAAGCAGCAGGGAGTTCAGAAGAACTCCAGCGACTG